GTGTGTGTGTGTGTGTCCCACATTTTGTCCCGCACTTCCAACTCGGGAACCACAAAAGCTAGGCGGTTGAAATTTTGGTGTAGTGTTCCCCGTCAATGGGTGACGCGGCATTTTCAAATTCAGCTTTCCCCTTCCCGCGGGTAACTCGTAGGGCTCCGTGAAAGTTTTCCACGGGTAAGCTAATATCTCGGGAACCACGGAGTCTAGGAATCTGAAATTTTGGGGCAATGACCCCCTGCCCACACTCAACCTTGTCCATCCAAATTCAGCGTTCCCGTACCCGCGGGTAACACGTATGGCCCCGTGAAAATTTTGACGGGTAAACTATTAACTCGGAAATCACGGAAAGATATTCACCTTTCAAGATTTCGAATTCAGCTTTCATGCGCTGGTGCGTGAAATTCCTAAATATTTTCCAACGTTTAAACTATTTTTGCATAGACTAAAGTACAAAGCAGTGAAAATCATTAATAGGCAATCGTTCGATGGGCTCGCATAAAAAAGCATGATCGCACCAGTTAGTCTGGTGCGCGTTGCTATTTATTTACTTTTACTGTCGCGCTCACTATTCACGTGTCATTGCCCGTCGTTAGTAATGATAAAGTTTATTCGATTGAAGTAACTTCTCGCGGCACTGAAGCGGGGAAATAGAGAAGTACCGAGTGTACGTGTATCTCGGTTCTGGGCCGTCGCTGAAAACGCTGGGCAAAAATAACTTAAGGAGAGTGGGTGGTTCAGTGAGGCTGGGAGTGACCATTCTCGCGAACTGTGGCCCGCAGAAGTAATTTTGCTTATGGTACGTTGCTACACAAAACCTCGTTTCTTTACGAATATTAATAGTAGCCGTCAACTCCTGAAACAGTAACTATCTAACATCACATTTAGTGAAGCAATGCAATTTCAATGTGATGTGAGCGATGTTTATCAAGGCAATAGAGCCGTAAAAAAACAGCTGTTGAGCGGTAGGCCCAGTTTTTTGGTTGCGAAGGATGGGTAAAGTAAATGGCTGTCGTACAGATGAAAGTATCATAAGAAATACCATTCAACGCTGTAGAAATAGTAGAATAAAAGGACTGGACTTAGGTGTCATGTATAAGACATTTTACGATGCAGTCTGTGTTTCATCCCTTAGCTGTAAACACAGGCCGAATTATGCGCGCGGGTAGAAGTGGGAATCATCAGTACAGCCTCCTACCCGCCATGTACTGAACAGCCATGTAACTAATTTGCAAGACGGATATGTGAGAGGAGAAAAACAAAGGAAGACCAAACAGAGTAAGAGAGGAGTGAAAGAAAAGGGAGTTAACTTTCGAAAGATCATTTGTATGGAATTATATGAATGAGAGAGGGCGAAAATACTGCTCGCTGCACTAATGGCAAGAAAAAAAAAACGAAAAAACAGTTACCCAAACCGAACAACGTAATGTACATGTATGCTATATGTACACCTTTAATATTCTATGTTACCTGGACGCATGATATGAGTGCTGTTTGAGGGATTTAGATTACTTGAAAGGAACCTTTTCGCTGGATTGGCCATATAATCGGCGAAGTAACGAAGCGCTTTCAGTGGTGCTGGCGCCGTTTGCTGATCAATTTCACTGAGAACCAAACTGGGCTTGTTCTGCGCAATATACGCTCTGTACATGAACACATCCTTGAGCAACTTGTCGGCCTCATTCTTCAGGTGCACATTCTACAACGCACGATGATCAAAGAATCCGCAGAAATACACCCTCGAAATTACAAAAATTTGACAAAGGAGTATTTCCTATTTTTGGCTAGGCCCAGTAAATTGATCAGTGTTCAGTCAAACCAAAAAAAGACTCAGTTTGCACATGCCAATCGATATAAACATAAAACAACTAATCTCGGCTGATTTGCGTTGCTGCTGCATCCTCCCCTGACAACCTGTGGTCGATAAGACACCCATACAATACTGATGTCTTATAGCGTAATAGCGTAATATATCGAATAGTGATTAATGGTTTTCTTGTTAAAAATAGACTAAAGACCAACTGCGTTACTATGACGCAGTACCCCTGTCTCTGGCTCAAACTTTAATCGCCCTACCCTCACTGAACTTTCGATCTTTGTCCCCTGGAGTATAAAAGCACTCCTCCCCACTGCCGGGACCACTTTTACCGATCCCCATTACCGACCTCCACTGCGACTTACTACTATATACTAATATTACTATTCTGGGGAGCTTCAGCTCCCCAGAACCTCACATACTTTTTGTATCTTGCCTTTTCACTTTACTATATATAATAAACGTGTATATAGGTCGCGGCGTGTTACATACACACACACACACACACACACACACACACACACACACACGCACCTACCCACGGGGTACTCACTAGTCTAAATAAAATAACAATTAGGGTCGCGATAGGTCTGGATCTCGCAGGCGCCAAATCTCAGCGCTGCAACCAAACACTTGGGCTCGTATTGGCAATGTTTTAGTTTCTTCCGGCATGCAGCAGAATGGGCATCGGTTGGGATGAAGGTATTGCGTTATAGAGCTGCATGGACCTGCAGGCACATGATTACCAGTTTTTCGCATGAAGTCCGGTCGTCTTTTCGGTGAATAATGCAAATTTTTTGAAAAAATGCAAATATCCCGTTCACTAAAAAGTGGAAGTATTGCTCAAGCGGTCATTCCCCAAAAATCGGCAACTACTAAAACTCGGCACGGCTCGGCTCGGCCGGTGCGTTTTGCGCCCCAGTGAGGCGTCTGCCATCTCTGGCAAC